TAAAAGTATAAAATGCACACAACAATCTTTTTTCTCTTACTCAAAAAATAAGAAATAATAAAAGTAAAATATATAAAACGAATGTAATAAATATTATAATAAAACTAAGTCGAATAATTTTAATACTAATCACTTTTTTATGCAGAAACACGAACAAATATATTATAAATATTTTTATGTAATTTTTCATTTAGTTTGATTATTTTTCGACAACATTTTCAAGGAATGAAGCCACATTCTGTTGTAATTGTTCATTAAAAGCTGTAAAAATAATTACTGTGTGTGTTCAAAGCTGCAGAGTATAATATGTTAATAAATTCGCTACACCAGTGTTACATTAATAACTATTCGTTATTATAAGTAAAGTACTGTTTTTCCTAGTAAATGTCGATAACAAAAACGTCATATTTTTAACATTGTTAGACTGTGAAAATCTGGTATGTATGTACAACACCAAAATACATATCCATTTATTATAATGCACGGTAAACCGACCTTATTTCTCGAGAATAATATGAATGTTATAATATCCAAATTCAGGTGTTTACATAATAATATACCATTGTCGTATAAAGAAGATAATATAATATAAAATATATTATACAAAACAGATATTCGGCGGTGGTCGCCGGGCGCGTCTCAAACTGTGTGGACGAACTGCTGCTTCTGGCTGGTTGACAATGTCGTAGTGGACGTCCAGGAAAATATGTCTTTTTCTTTTTTGCTCATCTTACGCCGGTGCAGTATTGGCCGTAATAGCGTTGTGTTACACATATTCTATACATGTGATGTATACATTGTCTTTTTGTCTCCACGGCGGAGACGCGCCACTCGAACAATGTCGGCGGTGGGTTATGTTATTATTATTTGACATGGGCGACTTCGTGATGTTTACGTCTTGTTACATTCGCAATACACCTTCGGTCGACACAATGGACGATAATATAAATAATAATAACATTATACATGATGTATAATATCCAGAGCATAAGGCACCCCTACCCCGTACCAGCACCACCCCGCTGCATCGTTTAAGGGTACAAAAGTAGTTCTCGTGTATATAATATAAGGCGGGTACACGCGAAACGATCGATCAACAAGCGAAAGAAACCAGGGCCGAACCGATAGGTATAATAATAACACGGTGACTTCTTAACAAGTAGCGAACGTGCCCCGGCGTGCATTTCGACATCCGACCGCGAACGTCCCGCTGGTTCTTGACCGTTTCTGCCCCGATCTCTGTGTGTGTGTGTGTATCTCGTCTTTATTACTATTATTATACTCCGCTGCTGCTGCTGCTGCTGCTCTGTCTTGGGATATATTATGTTATTATTATATTATGTTATATATCGTACCTTGACGTACGTGTGTGTCATACAAGTCCGAGTCGTACCAGGCAACAGCTGCTGCTACCGGCTATCCGTACGATAGACCGGATACTATGGAGATTAGTCTGTGTGTGTGTGTGTGTGTATTGAAGATGGCCACAGCAGTTTCTTAATGGAATCCGCCGACGACCATCGTCGATTCCGGCCGGTTTGCCGGTCGCTTGTTCTTTTGTCAGCGGTAGTTCGTGACTTTGGAAAATTAACCTACTGGGTGTCCGAACCGAGAGTTATTGTGGGGTTTTATTTTTTTTTTAGAATACACCTATTGCCTCTGTTTCGTCAATGGTTAACCTTTTTGCCTATGTCGGCCTCGTATAGTACTAAATTCATTCAGTCGAATATATCCGTTTCTGTATCGTGTAGCGCATAGACCGACCGGGTGGATAACTGTGGTATTATATATACATATATATATATATATAGTATTGTTCGCACAGGAAACGGCGATGGACCGTCTTACGTCCAAGAATACTCGGAAATAAACACCTCCGCGTTAGGTTCTCGGATACAGTCGTCAAAGGACATAATATAATAAAATAGTTTTTGCACTCTTTTCGGAAGAAACGTTTTGTGCCGTTCGGCGAATCTGGTTAGGTATCGCGATAACACTCTGTATGCGTGCCGAGTGTATGCTATTATAAGAAAACGGTTTTGTTTTGTATTGATGATGTAGGAATTTTATTTTTCATTTTAGAAGACATCGAGTTCCCAAGTGTTTGTGGTAATCTGTGATCTACGACCCAACAAAATCCCCAAATTTCATCTGCGGCCAACCGTTTTGTGTGACGGTCGTTTTTTAACTATGAAAAAAAAATTGTTTTAGAATTGTCAACAAATTATTGGATATTAATTATTAACCCTAATATTATTATAATGACCATTGAAGAGTCTAGCTTCACAGCTCTAATTTGACAATAATATAAAAATGTTAGTCATTACTTAATAAGTAATAATTGAAAACTTGGATATGTGTATTTATTGTAGATATGCTTATAACCTTCGAGTATAGATGTGTACTCAATGACATATTATGGTAGCAACGACTAAAATGTGTAATATATTATACCGGAGCTTGAACTTATGATTCTAAAAGATTCTATAAACACTTAAATTCTTCTTCCAAAAAAACTAAATTTATGACACATTAATCTATTTAAATACTTAAGAATAAGAAATGAATACATAAGGGACAGTCTAGGAGTTGCATCAATTGTGGAGAAAATGAGAGAGAATAGGTTGAGATGGTTCGGTCATGTTATGAGAAGAGACGAGGCAGAGGCAGTGAGAGGTGTTATGAAGATAAATGTAGAGGGAAAAAGAGGAAGAGGAAGACCAGAGAAAAGATGGGTGGACGGAATACAAGAATATTAAACGAGATGTAGAAGACCGAGCTCTATGGAGGTGTAGGACTAGGGTGGACGACCCCATGTAGTTGGGAGTGTAAGGCGAAGATAAAGAAGAAGAATCTATTAAAATACTTAAAATAGTTAAAACTTCAGATGGCTTAGGTTAGGTTTGTGTCAATATTCATATGCACTTTCCCTTAGACATTAGTAACTAGTGCCCCTCCCCCCCCCCAAAAAAAAAAAAAATGCTGGCTACGTTTCTGTTATAACGGTTTACATATTTATGTAAATTAAGCTTTTGCGTTTTCTAAAATGAACAAATTACAATCAGAGATTAAATACATTTATGTTACAACCAAGCGAATGAAACAATAAACGGTTTTTTATAATTGAAAATTAAAAACAAATTGACTAAATGTTCATTTGACGATTTCCGAGAATGCACAATAATATCTTAAGACGATTACTTAGACTAATCTTAATTGACTTTCATTCGTTATTTTGACCTTAAAGACTTTATCTAGTTGCCGTTATCAAAATGTAAGTTAATTATTGTTTTGCTGAATAGCTCGTGTCTTACACATACTGGTGTATATATATATTATATATATATATATATAAATATTTCTTTTCATTAAAATATAAATACCTATTATATTAGTAATATTTGAGTGATTAAATACAATACATTTTTTTATGCAATTCGAGCACAAAACAACAATGCCAATTAACAATATATGCACTGTATTCTGTAGGTACGTTATCTTTTTTATTTACATACTTTGTTTTTGTCCATTTAACCGTTATTTTTTCACCACTGCTTACGGAGCCAGAAAAATTTTGTACACCTATGTAAAAACAATATTACTATTTGTTTATCCTATCGAGACTAAAATTACACAGGAATGCGAAAACAATGTAATGGTCGCGTAACGACCGGCTACAATAATTGTAATCAGTGATAAGTATAGTGATATATCATTCGATACGATGTAGAGACTCGTTCATAATTATTATTAATCATAATATATGAATATGCTAACTATGCAAGAATAAGATAGCACGTGCTAGCTCACTCATGCGTACAGAAATTTGTTGATGTTCGAATTATTTATACGTCAGAGTTGGACAACACGTGCACGAGTATCAAAAAAAATATATTTACTTTAGTTGAATTACCCAAAGATTGCACAACTTGTGACACTGGATACTCTGGATAAAGAAGACCTACTGTATAGTTTTTTGGAAATACTGGAAGAATAATTGTAGTTGTCTGTTATTATAATAATAAATAAAAAGACTCAATATGAAAAATGTAGGCATTATTATAATTTGACTGTAGTCGTTTCTAGAGGATAAAATTAAAAATTCACTTAAAAAAAGTCCCGGAAAACTGAGACGGTTAAAAATGTCAAAATTAACGAAATGTGGTGTATTTTTAAAATCATACGAGTATTTTAATTTTCAAGTTTTTCTTCCCTAACAGATATTAATGATGGCATTGGAATGTAATTACCTTACTGTGATCCCATAAAATAGAGATATCAACTAGTAGCGTGTTGGTAAAAAATTAACATGTTTTTTTCAAAATCTTAAATTATCGTGGTGTGTTTATAGCTTGGTTTTATAGTTACTCAAATTTTAAATGCATTTTATTCAAAAATCAACCTTATTGTACCGTTTTATTATAAATTATAATGTCAATTCCGTGTTATTGACCAGTCAAACGTGTTATCCACTTAAACTAATAGTCCTATTTCCATTATTGACATTAATATAATCAATAAAAATAACAAGTTTTTTTTTTTAATTAACACATTATAACTCATGTGTTAATTTTTACACACGACGAATACCTTTTTGAATATTTACGTGTTGGTATAAATTCGATATTTATTTATGTAACCATTGATATATCCAATATATTTTGCAAATGTTTCGTTTTAACGTTCATCGTTTTGTACCTTACCCAAACAAAACCTTAAAATACGATATCGTTTCACTAAACATGTATGTCACTATTGATATTTGATATGGCATTACCTTTGTAAATAATACTACATTGTATTCAAGTAAAATAAAACTAAAAAATCTACAACAGTTTAACATAAAAATAATTAAAAATATTTATTTTCAACGAATATCATTGAGCAAATTTCAATATTATAAATAATATTAATCATATTTTATAATATGAGCAAAACTTATACATAATGTATAAAAAAATTACATAAAACATTTAAAAATTGTATACCATGTATAAAAACTTAACTCTATGATTGTTTTAATAAATAGTGCTACTTAATAATACTACAACTTGAGCAACTTCTCATTACAACACAAAAATAATACGATAATTCAAAAAATAGATCTTTAGTAGAAAAAAAAAAGTAAAAATATGATAATATACATATATATCTAGTGTTATTTAATAATTATAATATGTAAAAATATTAATCTTTAACCATCACAGTTTTCGTTTAAATAAATCAATCTTATAATAATTTGTGTTTTATCTTATAAATTATAATATAAATATAATAGTAAAAATAAATGGAAGACATGGTTGTCGTTTGAACCCAAATTTGTTAGGCGCAAACTTAAACTAGTACAAAATATGTACAATATAATATTTATATTAGAATTAGTTTTTGTGATATAATTTATATATTATTATGTACATTCGTTGGCGATAAAACATAGTATTTTGTGCGATGTGTTATTGCCGCTCAACGATGATATAGTTCCGGGTTGCACAAAATAAAAACCAATATTTTTAACTTAAGCCGTTAATCCAAATGTTTAAAGAGATCTTTAGATTTAAAAGTAAAACAAATGTTTTCCAAGTGTTATTATGAAAATTATTTTCGTGCAACCCGGTTCAAGTGAATTAATAATAATAAATAATAATAATAATAGTAAAATGATGGTGTTCTTAAAAACTAAAAGGTGCGAATGGTGCGAGTTTAAACGAGTGCGACAAGTGCTTGTTAGTGTGTGCATGATAATAATAATAAAAAAGTGCAAGTGCAAGTGCAATGTGTGCTAATGGTAACTAGTGCGATTAAATGGTGCGATTAAATGGTGCGTCAAGTGCATGTGCGTTAATAAAATAAAAAAAAAATATATATATATATATAAAATAAAACATCGAAAGACACGAGGTACGTTTCCCTTTGCTCCCCCCCCCTCAAAAAAAAAAAAAAAATTAAATTAAATCAAACAGCTTAACGATCAAAGTGAATGTTTCGTAACCTCTCAACCGTGTCCGAGGTCAGGTTGGCCGCGTTCGGTTGGGGTTCGGCGTTTTCAATGTTTTCCAGCATCTCGTTGGCCACGTTCTGGGCACGTTCCTTGCGGTCGTCGTGGCCGGCCGTGAACAGACTCTCCAGGCTCTTCCAGTGTTTGTTCAGGTTCACCCTGGCCGTCTTGGTGATCACCCGCAGACAATTGGCCTTGTTGTCCCTGTACGGCTTCAAGACCTTTTTTGGGGGAAACAAAAACGCACAACGTAAGTGGTGACAACGCATTAATCGAGGTTTTGTGTGAATCTAGGACTTACTTGTTTCAACGTGTTCAGGCGGTTGGCGTAGGAAGACTTTTGCTGTTGCGGACCCATTTCTGTGGACTGCTGACGGCGCAATGTCCGGCACATAACTGCACGTCCTCCGAAGACGAAAAATACAGAATCTGTGTGCGGTGTTGCGTGGGAACGGACCGTCGCGTCGTCGGTGCCAGGTGTTCAGCAGGTCTCTTTGTGTGGTGTGTGTGTGTGTATACAGCTACAACGTCTTATAGGTAGCTGCTTCTGCTGGTGCTGCCGTCGTCGGTATCCGCAGTCTGTGTGTCTGTGTATAAGACTGTGCTGCTGGTCCTGGTGCTGTGTCTCCGGCCCGGATTGGAATGTGGTCCCGACCTCATCCGCGCCTACCTTATATACAATACCTGTAGCCCACCGCGAGCGCGCGCACACACATATCACATGATCCCCCAGGGCCTCTTCGTTCCTTGTGTGTGTGTGTGTGTGTGTGTAGGTACATATTGTTATCATCCCCCGCCCACACGAACATACCCAGAAATCCCTATAAGTCATCGGGGGCGCCGATTTTATACACTATCCTATACACACACACACACACACAAACCCATTGTAAAGATCTATTACTTCGGTTTCAGCTCGGATCAGAAACTAAAAGTAATTACTTATTTGAAAAAAAAAAAACCACAAATACAAATAATATGTATAGTACTTTTTACATAAATTAATCAAGAGGAACGGAAACAGTTGGGGAGTCGGTAAATTTGCGCCCTATCAAAACGGTACTTTGGGAAGGAGTACTTAGGACCATAATGCTGAATAGTTAATTTTAGCTACTATAAACTGTATATGTCGTTCTTACACATTTTATAAAACAAGTAGACCTGGCAAAATTGCATTTAAATTAAATGGACGTTTGAATTTCTAAAACGTCTCCAAACTTTTATTTGCTTAGCATCTCCTTTGCGATGGCTAAAGTGTCCCTCTAATTCTCAATGGCTTTAGGTAACGCATGATCTTGTGGTCTTGGGCGCCCGTATCGTTTTAATTAAGTGGGTCAGAGCATACTCATTCTAGCGTGTAGGTACTTGTTAGCTTTTCCGGTGGTTATGCATTGTGATTCGTGCATTGTATAATAAACATTGAATTTTTAGGTTTTAACACGATGCATACGATTAAAGTTAATGCTCAAATCAAAACAATTCCAAAGGTCTAACAAGTAAAAGAGTGACGCAAGCAGACAACGTAAAATCCAATGCGCGTCACTCATTTTATTATTATAATATTTTGTGAACAAAAATATTGTTTGATGGAAAATGTAATATGAAACATATTGCGCAGAAGAACGTTACCATATAATGGGTTAGCGGCGACTATTCTTATTGTGCTGATTTCTATTAATATATACATAGAATCACATCAAATCGTTTTACAGTAGTTTTGCCACTTTTAAATATAATATACATTCATCTCATCACTAACAATTATCACCGGAGAAACATTCTCAACTTGTAAATACTACAACGACTTCATCTCAACAGCAAGCATAATATATTAAAATATACCAGATACTTCAAAACCATCAATAATATACTTGACACACCAAGGACACAATACATTAAATGTATAATAGATATGAAATACATTCTATGTCATCTATTATATTGCATCTGTAAGCACTTATCTCATATTCTAAAATGTAAAACACTAAAAATCTATAAAATAAAAATACAATTTATTGTAAACAAAATAGAACAATACAATACACATTTGCCAAAATCGGCAAAGGTTATTGGGTTACTTAATAGAATTTACGTTTAAATTACCCTTTGCTACAACAGGATTGAATAAGATAAAAAAAAAAACAACGAGAATATTATAAATAAATTAAACGATTGTCCGTTAATATGTTAGTATGTTATTTTTTTATATTTTGGGAAAACGGATAATTATTTATAAAATAGTTTTAAGCGTTTAAAACCGTGTTTTTTATTTTTTAAATCTTAATATTTTTACCAACCTTGAGCTAGTAGTTCTTTTAAATTTCAACGTTAACATTTTTTTTTTTTTTTTGAATTTGTCATGCTTTATATTCTTACTTTACGATAAACTTAACCTAACTTATCCACAGACACACACTTGTGTAATGACGATCGATGAGTGTAATTATAGTGTAAATTTGTTTCCTTTTTTTCTTGCACGCAATACAGGTATTCTGGCTAATTTTTTTTTCCAAAAAAAAAAAAAAAAAAGATTACACCCTTGTACGTTCACTTGACCCCTCGTGTGTGTGTGTGTTATTATTATTGTATAATGGTTGTGTAATTTGCACAACGCGTGTCTTACACAGAGCATAGTACTTTAAACAGTCAGGGCAGACTATAGTTTACAGGTTATACTACTGCAGGTATAACCTGTACATGTCCTACACCACAAAACCGTTGATTAAACCTGTCTCGATTTTTGCGTGTGGCGTGATCATCGCCGAGATTATTATTAGGCCACGCCAACGATGTCAGTCGACCATATCCACATTATAGTAATACCTAATAATACCTAATAACAGTAAAAAAAAATGTATTCATTAATGAGTGCCTGCCAATGAACAATATCTCAGGATCACACGCATCCGTGTGTATCTATTATTATTGTTATAACAACAATAATTGTACCTAATAACAGCGCCAATCTATGGAAACGTAATTTTGGGCAAAACATATTTTTTAAAGCAAATAATGCCAATCTGCGAATATATTATTACTGTGAAGAGTTATTTTACAAAAAACGCTCGGCAAGTGTCGAGTGTCGATTATTAATATTTTCGGTCTTGCTGAAATTTAGCCAATAGTTGTTTTGATCTCAGGTAGGTATTTCTGTTTTGTCATCCTAGTCTTTAACCACCTAACTCGTCACGGTCTGTAGACTGTAACGTCTTCCCCGACCGACCGCTCCCTTCACATCTCTTCTAATATCAGTTTGAAAAAAAAATATATACAATAAGTTTACAATATCTAATGTATGGATAGAGCTTTTTTTTTTTCAACTACCGGAACGGCACGAGACATTGATTCAACTGATGTGTACTCTCGCCGGCGGAACGTAAACAGTTGCTTATAATAAAATGGAATAATATGCATAGGCGCAACTGGATCTACGTTTTAGGGTGTGCTAAAATTATGTACACCTGACTAAACATAATGTTTATCTTCAAACCATTGGATATAAAATAAAATATTTGAAAATAAAAATATTCTAAAATAAAAAATTTAAACAGAGTATGCACATTTTTTAAATTTTATGCGTGGAAATAAAGGATTGGGGTATGAATTTTTGGGGTTGCTAATTTTGAGTCTGGGGGGGTGCTAAAGTCCCCCTAGCATCCCCTAGCTGCACCTATGATAATAGGTTAATACGTTGTTGATAAGATCGTGCAGCTGAGAGTATGTTCACGGTAATCGAAGGAAATCCTTAATAATTATTAAATGTTAAATAAACATAGGCGACTGTAGTTTTGTTGTCGGTTAAACAATCAATTTGGAATCGAGTAAAACAATAAAATAATTAAAAACCGTTGGTTGTCCTTGGTAAGACGCGTCTTGTGGTATTGTAACTGTTGCCTAATAATTTTTCGAATAGATGATTTTGTTTATTCCGTTTTCTTTAAGAGTATTTTAAAATAGTGTTAACGGTTCTTAACAAATAACTATTATCTTTGAATTTAGGAAGTACCTATAAGCCATCCGACTAGAATGAAAATTGTAAGTAGAATCACGTGCATTTTATGAAATAATTTGCCCACAATTGTAGTTTAAACACACGAAGAAACAAAACAATACTTAGATGATATGCGGCTAAGTCGCACCTGTAAATCGAACGATAATGGTAATATCTACCTGTAGCGGTTATATTGTATTATTAATACCTATTATTAATTTTTTAAAAAATAAACCACTTTACACTGAGCTTGAGTGCGCGTCGTCGGCTTTTAATCGGTTTTTGTCTGTATTCTATTGTGATAGCGTTGCCGACTCGATTGAATTGGTACCGCTGAGTCAATATCTGTACTTGACTCACCACCCATACTTCGTGTTGGGAACTCGACTCGTTGCTGACTTTAAAAGTGATAGAAAACCACGAAACAAGTGAACAACAAGACTCACCAACACTATTATCCCACCCTTATCGTTTTGAGCGGTAAGAATCAGAATTCGGAAGGGTATAATTAACAAAATGTATTTAAATTTTAATGAACGTAACATCACTAGCCCCCGCTAGCACACGGCCCATTTTTGCAGGATTACTAAGTCACCCGTGGCGTATTTTAAACGGATGTTCTGGAGGTTAAAAACATTTCCTCCCCCAATTTGCTCACGATCTATGTATTATTTCGATGGTAGTAAAGAGGCGGGGGGAGGGGGGAGGGTGTTAAGGGCCCATTTGGGAGTGTAGTATGTGATAGTTCAACTGCCCAAGAATTGAGGATTTTTGATAAAAATAAAGTTACAGTATAAATATTTTTGTGACGTGTAAAAACTAGACAAGTGTAGAGCATAATATTGATGGCACTCAATAGACCTTGTTGAAGCCTACGATTGAAAATAGAAAAGGGAAGTCTTTAGAGAGTATGCCGCCGTCAAAACGTGTAGGCATAAGGTAGGGTAGGACTAGGGCCCCAAATTGTAACGCGCACTTTACCAGCAATTTTCAATTAATCAGGCCCCGTGTATATATATATATATATAGGCATTATAATTATTTTGTCGGACACGTCTAACAGTCTAACATGTTTTCGGCGGCAAAGCGTCGCGTCGATAACCGTTGAAAATAACAGTTAAGGGATGCGTTGGCGGGACGGAGCCGGAAAAAAGCGAGTGAAAAAAAAGTTACCTCCACAGCGATAATAATATAACCATAACAATAATAATAGAAACCGAAATCCGTACACACGGTGCTTAACGGTCGTGTCTTACATATTATTACTATAGTAAAAGAGCGCGACGGTTTTGCGGACAAGGTTAACATAGGGGAGGCGAAGGCGGCGGCGGCGGGGGCGCGGGCAGGTGATATGGACCACATCTGGACGATGACGGTGAAACGGCGACGTCGTCGTTAATACACGCACCGTGGGAATGACGATCGTTCACGGGTTCCCACGCACCTCGAAAAAAAAAAAAAAAAATACTGGCCAAACATCACCTGTCTTGTACACTTTTAACCACTCCAATCGGTAGTATAATATTATTATTATTATTATTATATACATACATACAGAGATACGGTGAAACGCTATATATGTATGTTATAAAACCGCTCTGCGCGGCAGCGTCGATGATGGTGGGGCGCTTGGGCCTGA